AGTAGCCATTACACTTAACATATATAACGTATGGTAATTGAAGCCCTTATTAGCACTTCTGTATGTGCTGAGAAGTGTATATTTAGCGTCTCATTCACTACTCCACACAGGTGTCGTTTTTGTATGGCTTTGAAATATACATTCACAGGTGCATTGGATATTTGCTAGTATATAGAAGGAAAATCTAATGAAATTTTCTGCGATAATAATGGCTGTAGTCAGTGAGGGTTCGATCAAAAATCCCGTTACTTTACGTAAGGGTGTCTGTTTCGTTCCGTGAATCGGAAACGTAACCAAAATTCAGGAACCATATAAGCTTACCTGTCGCATTTTCATTTGTTTTAACTGTTATCATATATTACCTCTAAACACCAATGCACAAATATCAAAAACAATTAAAAAACAGGCGCTACTAGAGACGGTTTTAAGAGTAAAGATCACTGTGAGACGGGGAGTATACACACCAACTAAAGAAATACATAATAAAATATGCACCAGAAATTGAAATCAAAATAGTAATTCTTCCGCTATAAAAACACGCTTATGCCTTATCGGTACGTAAACAAATAAAAAGTAACTGCATGTTGCTAAGCAACTTTGACATATCAATACAAGTGTATGATGCCCAAGTAATGAACTAATCAAGTATTATATAAACGTTCGCTTGAAATATCATAAACAGCGTCTCTTAATAACCTACTAAATCAATCTTCCGGATGAAAGCCGCATCTCATTTTTAGAACAAGAATTACAGTGTTATACCTGAGATATTCTTTAATGAAAGGAAGTAAGTGTTATCTTTATATTGTATTATCAGTTGTGTCCGTACACACTAACTTATATTTGCAGCAAATATTTTTTAGCTGCCACGGTTAATCAGAATGTAAGCATTTTCTGGATGGGGTGATAAGCACACAGGAATCCAATAAACCCGGTCTGTGGGATAGAATGAAAACTTTTTTTTTCTTTCCCAGGCGACTGAACATAAAATATCGCTAGCCAGTTGTTAACAGATTGGTGAAGTTTGCCTTCTACTTATAGTAGGACACTATTCGCGTCCTGACCACCCACTAGTTCTCCCTAGCCATCTGTAAGTTATGTTGCCAGTTAGATTTAGCATGAGATTCACTTTTGCAGCAATTGCTTTACTGAAAGAAGATGACTTCATTTTTAAAAAATAGCGGAATTAATTCAGTCCTGCGCCTTTAGCAGGCCATACTGATAATAAGTTACTAGATGTCAAGCAACGTTAATGTAGCATTTACCAGTAAGAGTAACGCGTGATATATTTTAAGAAACTGATTTCGTTCTCCTTAGGTGAGCCTGTAACAGTCAAACGGGAAAGTAGTTTGTTGAGAGACATGGACCCTATACTGCAGTATGCTCACAATTTTCGAGAAAGTTCATGTAACTGGCAGTATACAGAAACTCGATTTAACCTTTTTCTTGGCAAGAGCAAAAACATCAATAATTTTCTTCTGTTTCGCGTCATTTTTAGCTTTGGGTAGAGGGCTTTGAACAAGCCGGCTGCCTCCATTTTTCAGCGGAAAGTAGCCTTCCCCCTGTCTCCGGAGCGGAAACCGACTTTCTGTTGGAATTTTGCGGTCATCCCTGGGATTCCTACAAACCTCACTCCGACCTTAGTCCCTACCTTCTCATGCGCATCCTGGAAAAAATGACGCAGGCCAACTTTCAGTTTATCTGCAACGTTAATTTCAGAGGAAGTCTGGACACACTTCTGTTTGCGCCAAAGCAAGAAGCGAGTAGCAGTATGACTTTTTCCAGATCCATGACACAAGCCTACTTCGTCCTCTGTCATCAAGACTGCGTTCGCGTTTATAATGGAAGTGAAGCCTTGTGTGGCTGGGTGAGCCGATTGTTTCAGCAAATATGGGCGCCTGGTGTGATGATGGAAAAGCAGGTAACTTTTACCAACAATGTCCCAGAAGAGGCTGAACCTGGATTTGACACATTCAAAGAAGCAGCAGGTGCAAATGAAAAAAACGGGAGTGGAGAAGACCGAAACCTCGGGTATACTGAAATTAGGTTGAATGGATGTCCCTGGTGGATTGCGGAGTGGAATAAGGATGCTCTTCTGGCAGCAAAGTACCTAATGACACGATTTGGCAGCGTCCTTGCTCTGACGGGATGGCGGTGTTTTGCATCGGTTAATATGTACTGTAGCCCGTACGACAAGTGTCTTCTGATTTTTGAAAAAGAACTGGTAGGTCCCGCATATATAATCTTTAAGGTTACCTTTTATCCTTCAAAGATTAGAATTCTACCGACCAAAATTAAACACCTGTGAGTCCTCTGAATGAAGATATTTTATGCCGGCAGTGTAGACATAACTTAATTGAATGTACTTGGAACCGTTTTAGATACGGCCACTGTAGGCAGAATGGATGCATCTTCTGGCGTAGTTATTTTATTGTAACTTATCTGTGAAGATGTCCAAGGAAGGGTAGGAAAGAACGTTATATTTGTCTTTTCTAAATGTTTTCCTATAGGTACAATTTTTTACATGAGGAAGATAGCTTATTACTCAGTTGTATTTTACTCGTTGAACCGTTAAGATCAGCCGAGTTCCACTTTGTTAAAGCGTCTCATTGCACTGGCTTAATTACGTTAAACAGTCTGAGAAGAAGAAGAGTTTATTACAAAATAAGGTTTGAGTATGCAGTATCACCGAAGAGCATGCATTTTCCACAATAAGTTGGAAATGATATATATCTATACTTCCTTTCTTAGAGGGTTCGTAACACTCCTTCAAAACAAGCAAGATTACAAACAGTTGAATTGCACTGACCGCAAATAAGATCAGTGGTAGTAACGACTATAACCGTGATGGTGATTATCATTAGTGCAAATTATTGTGCATTTATAGTAGAGGTGCGTTTGCGCGTTTGAAAGCATAAGCTTATTAAATGGAGAGAGTTTACCTGCCTGCTCATTGTAAATGCAAGAGCTGAGTTATAATATGTTAACGTATAAATTATATGCTCAGCAGCGATTATGCGGTATAAACGTCACTGTAGTGTACATTGGAACCATTTTTTCATTCGTATTCATATGTTCAATCTATTTTCCATTTTCTTTAAATTAAGCATGAATGTAAGCAATAACTTTTAATTGCTGCTGTCCATAACTTGACTAATAACATTAAATCGTGTCTATTTCTGAGTTAGTTCGTATATATATGCAAAATATTGCTTATGCGCTGTCCTAGACAGTGCACATGTTCAAGTATCATGGTCAGACAAGTCTTTGCTATAAACGCTTCTGTATTACCAAAAGCGAAACAACTGAAAGCCAAAAACGTTCATTGCCAATCAGTTAGGCAATATTGCATGCTGCGGATACTGCAGGTTTAGTTCAGTGCCATATTATGTGTTATCGCCATTAATAAATATATGCGAAAAAGGGCGATCTCGGGAACCACAATCGTATTTTTCCTGACTTAAAAAAAGCAGACTAGCTTTCGACATCGAAAATAAGTGTGGTACGGCGCCTAACTGACACGGTCAGCGAGCTGCTCGACAGCCGATACAACGATAAGAGCGAAAATTTCAAATGGAGACATTTCTTCATATTCATAATTCTGTCTGAAGGCTTGATTCACCTTCGAAGGGAAAATAATACGGTTAATCTAGAACGAACCTCAAAGCAAAACGGGACGTGTATGTTCCCTAACCACAGCATCCTAATCCCATCATATTCCCGATCGCAACCGACAAAGCAACGTGCCAGTGGTAAGATGGGAAAGTGTTATACTCAAGGACCAAACGACCACGTTTCAAATACAGTGTGATCTACATCTGAGATTGGATACGACTGGCTGATTTCGGTCTTCAATTTGTGTTAACAATTCAAAATCTGCAGGAGAGAAAGAGTTATTTTGGAGGAGAAGTAAAGGATTATGATGGGGGTAATAGATGAATCAAACAATAGCACCTAGAATCGTTTTGACGCTTCAGGAAGAGAAACGTTTTCCTTTAGCCAAGTTACACATATGATGTAGTATACTCGTAAGTTAAGATCCATCTTAGAGGGTCTGTATAGTGTCTCTTAGATGTTCAGCAAGTTGATCTACTTTGTACATTATTCAATATATATACCTTATTCGAGAAGGTGCCGTAAATAAAGGTTCTGAGATTCGGTGAATATTTTATTTATATATACTCGTGTGTTTTCCATCAAGCAATGACGGCCTGACAGTTTGGAGCGAAAAGGTTCATTTTACAAAATCGAGGCAATCGGTATTGAGCTCAGCTAAAGCTAATACTATGTACTTTTTATCCTTTTCTATTTTTGACTCAATCAACTCACATAAGCTTTGCTCTCTGGCTAGGGTACAAAAAACGAACAAACGACAATGGACCTGGAGCAAATTGAGTTACATGAGAACACATCTAATAAACTCTGCAAGCCCATTGACCTTTTGATGCCCGTATGTATATCAACATACGATACCGACCAAATTTGCATCCTCGGAGGTTCGACAGTGTTCCTTCGTCATCTTCATATGCGATTCAGCAATCTCTTTGGCAGTGCAAAATACCTCAGCGACAAAGATGAACATGCGCTCAAGGACGCTGAGGAACCTGAGTTTGCCTTTAAGAACTGGATGCCTCTGAAGGGCTTTTTTGTTCCGGAGACACTGCACTGCAAATTGCTGGACGAAAAGACACTGCTCTGTTTAACAATCACGTCAGAAAAGTCTCATTTTCCTACGCATAATACTGCCCTGATTTCAATCAATGACAATGATCCGGATAGTTGTCTGGAATATGGGCTTACTTATCAGCCCTGGGATGGCCTTGTTAACTGGCCACCTAATACATATAAGAAAGCTGCGGACAAGAGGATAAACAAATACCTTTGTCGTCAGCTACCGCTTTCGCTGTTATGTTGGATTCATGAATTAGTCGTTACAACTCCATCCGGTCCGGCCACACTGACAAGCGGAACTGTAGAGGACCAGGATGCGATTGACACAATTTCAGATACACCTTTAAAGAAGGGTTCTGAAAATGAACTATTTTTGTGCACTGATTATTCCTCTGTCACTAAACATTCACCCCCGACATGGATGTATTTGGTCCGAGAAAGAAAATATGACTTAGTTACCGTTTCCGGAAATGCTAGAGTAAACTTTTAAATTACTCCTCCTGCCCCGTTTATCTGTTATTTCTGTTTTTTGGCATAGCAGTATTAAGTTGTTTTGTATCACAATGAGTGCACCTTTATAGGAATTTTAAAAACAAGCTTCACAACATTAAATTACTTCTTCTGATGAAACCTCAAATAATTAATGACTTAAGTTTTTATCTAATAAACTTATATAAACAGCTATTAAGTAACAGCACACTTGTTTTATTTAAAATATTCAAATATTAGTAAAAAACACAACTAGTACAAGAAATATGATTGCTATTTTGGATTCCGGTCAATAGTCAAGAATTTTGAAGGTAGTAATAGCCTGGGAATCGAATAATAATTGCGGTCCCAGACTTTGCAGGTCATTGAAACATTTTACACTAAATTGCTATGTGTTTTGAGCCTTATTCAGTATGTCCTCCGACGGGAAAGGTTGGCGGTGCAAGTATGTGCACATTTACTTCACGCCAACGACATGCACCGATGGCAATTCTGGTTTTCTTGACGTTGTCTTATATTGGCTCTGCCGAGGTAAAAATAAAAGCTATGCAGTTAACGGAAATAATATCTATTATTGCTTAAACTAATACATGCGTAAATCATCGAAACAGCGCCATTGTGCTAAGGGCAAAAGTAGCTAATGTACCCCCACTCATAGACCCCTAGTCCCAAAATTTTGTCCTACAAAAATGGTGGTTATAGAGTTTTGTGGGGTGGGGAAATAGGATAGGCAGAG